ACTTACTCGCACGAGGCATCTATTTATACGGTGTCGTCATCATTCCAGCCTGGGAATCTTCGAGCTATTAGACATCAGCCATGTGATGAAAGAGCAGAATATGACACTTCCTGGGTCGCACGTAAGGAATCCATTCGTCTGACAAGATATAAATAACGTGAACCCTAAGTATCTGGAACACCCTTGAGCAGGAAGTCAAGTTGGTCGACGAATAGATTACAAACCAATTGATTGGTTTGTTGAGCCATTCGATAAAAATGAGAGATCCCGTGTCACCCCCATAGGAACCCCTTGGCGTTCTCACAAACCCCGTGGCAAGTCTACGAACGCAGTCTGTGTAAACTGGAAGAAGGAATACGTTACCAATGGGAAAAGTGATGAATGACGAAATAAGGTGACGATACTTCTGTAATTTGATACGCTTTTCAGAATGTGTTGTCTTGTAAATCTTAAGGCCACAAACGCCTACTGCGCACATTGAGCCCACGACATTGCTATTCAGCCGCTACCAGCCGAGTTCATTGCTAGAGGAGAGCGATTATGGCCAAAAGAACGTACATTTATACGTCTGCATACTTAGTGTCTCGGCAGAGCTCATGTAGCTACTGTGTGCATGGAGTATTGAGAGGACGTTGAAAATGACTCCGGCCCTGGGTCTACACTCGTCATGCTGAGATCTGGGGAGAAAACTTTCGTAGGATGCCTGGAGAGCATCCGTATAAAAGGGCAATTGCTTTATCATAACTCTAAATTAGACAACCCCAATCCCCGCCATCATCAGCCGTCCTTGCCTTCTGGCCCATCAATGATTGGTGAAGGTACACGAGTGATGAACCCTCCTATAGTCTCGTTGTTACCTCTAGATTAGCCCCGGGTCACTGGCCGGTCCCATCTGATTTACTCCGCCGTTTGCAACTGATGAAAGATGTATAAGCGAACAATAGCCAGCGTGGCAGGCGACGTGTTGTTGAAAGTGGCTGGTGGGAATCATGCATTATACGACTAAAAATGCCTTTAGCTATGTTCGACTTTGGAAAAAAGGTTCCAGATGTCATCTCCAATCGAGAACAACCAAGATCTGATTGTTTCCGACAATTTTCACGAAAAAGGTGCAAAGGCAACGTCTTATAGGCCGCATTTCCCGTCAATGTAGAGAATGTTTGCCAGGCCCAGGTGATTGGAGATCGAGATGGTGGGTACGAATTAGTCTTGTCATATTCATTGAGACTCTCCAGTATCAAATTATCTCTTGGCTTTACAATCTGTAGAAATCTTTGAGGAATTGACGCTTTTTTCAATCATAACATTTGGTAACTGTGTTCAAGAAGTTGAGTTTGCTTTCGCTCAGAACAACCAACAGTAGCATGATATTCTTTCCAGGTATGTTGTGACTTCTGGTCAACTTCGCTTGAGTATTCGGGCATTACGACACATAAAGCAAGGATAACAAACGTCGATTGTCAAATGTTTCTACTAATAGAGTCATGTCGCTCCCAGACTAGACATGAGTCATTACCAGGCAAGCCTGCGAAACTCCGGCATTCTGCACAGAATCAACCTTTCTGTCATGAAGGCCAACATGCAGATGGTTCAGCCCTGTCATTCGAGAGACAAAAGGGGTTTAAGTTTCTTTGTCCTATATATACACGTCTTTGTGTAAGAAAAATTTCAAACAATCATCAAGTATACGAGTCTTAAACCTCGATCCCTCAGACGGTCGGGCGCCATTCTCGGATCAAACCACTCCCAATCGCCTTCCCCGCCATATCTCCATAGCAGCCTCCCCGTTTGTTCCGACTTCTGCTCCCAAACATCGGGCAGCTCTTCTAGACGAGGATCATTGATTGTGATCATGCCGCTGGGGTGGATGAACACAGGTCTGCTGAAGGTCTTGTAGATCATCTTCCACCCCTCTGGCAGCGGACCGAGAAGCCCCTCGAAGCGCATAAGACTGTGCATGAAACATGCCCCGACAATCCTGTACTTGGAACTGCCGACAGGCCTCATGATGATGGGCATGTTGCACCCCAAAATCACGAAGACCTCGTCACCCTCACGAGCTGCGCCGGTACCGAGGGCGAATTTGCCTGACGTGGTTCTCACAAGTTGCATACCTGTCATACTCTTGGAGAACACGTCCAGAGCGCGAGACCGGGAGGCAGCTTCGAGCTCCGATGGCTGCTGTGGCGAATGTCCCCGAACACCGCTGAGGAGGATGTCCTTCAGCTGCCAGAGTTCCAAGCTGGTATCGTCGAAGGCAATGTCCTCCTTGAGATGGCCGCGCGCAATCGTTGCAATCATGTCATCGACAGCAGCACTATCACAGGCTTGGATCCCCTGTGGGAATGAGTCGGCCACCCAGGACGCAAATGTTCTTTGCACATCCTCCAGACTGGGTCGAGGGGGCATCGGAGACGTCTTTCGAGCGACAGTTCCAACGTGCGTCCCCGTGATTGTCAGCGTACGATCAGCTGAGATGCTGTACACTGTCTTGGTATTGCTGCTGGCTGAGCCGATGCCGTAGACACCAAGCGAAGGCACAGGAACCGTGAGGTCGGGAACCCAGGTCGGACTATCAGCCATCTCACACATCGAGAGTATGTTGGCTATCGAGACTGTCCGCAGATAGTTCTCCGTATAGTCAAAGTAGACATCCCTGGCAATCTTCGCCTTGGAGTAGTCTGGCTCGATTTGGAGCAAGTCCTGAAGGCCGAGGAGACCATACACCCTGTCTCTCTCATCCTCACACTCGCAATGCCGAGTCATGACGAGCATGTACAGGAAAGAGTTGACTCTGGGCTTAGAAAGGGCTACATCACACGCTGTTTCCAGGATCTCTCGAAAGTAGCCCTGTGACTCTTCGTCTAGGGCGGGTTGGTGGTCCACGGCGTAACTCCGCAGATGCTTCAAGCCATTACAGAACTCATCCCAGCTGAGCTCACAGTCGCCGCTCTGGAAGAGGGCCGAGTTGTTGGCAAGCCAGATCTCCTGGCGGATCCACACCCTCCTGAACCAGGCGTCGGCAAGGAGGGTGATCAAGGACCGCCAGTCGGCTTCAGGGAGTTGTTGCTCAAAGTCTGGAGAGAAATTCCTAAGGATGTTCATTGCTCGAGGCACGTCTTCGTCTTCGGCGCTGAGCCAGAAGATGACCCTCTGAGCGTGGCGGTAGATGGCGCCCATGCGCTGTACCTGAGCTGCCCGCTCTGTGAGATTACTCTGATTGATGCATACCGCATCGCACCAGAGACTTCGGACTTGGAGAATCTGTCCATCATTGGTTTGATAGCGGATGTGTCTAAGAGCCGACGCTAGATTATGTCGGATCTGGATCGTGCCGATGTCATTCGAATCGTCGTCTACGATGTGCAAAGTGTCTGTTTCGCCCAGCTCTCCCCAGACATAGGACATTGCTTCATAATTCGGAGGGGAGACCGACGGATCGAAATGCTGGTGTGTGATCCGAGCCCGGAGAGGACTGCCAAGGTCACCGGAGAGGAGGAGCAGCACTCGAATCTCGTCCTGGCTCAGGGGCCTGTACACGAAGTCTGTCGTGTCGGACGACGTGGACTCCGAGGTTTGAGACGCTGTAGGCACTTGAACCATCGTGACGATGAATTGGTCAAAGATTAAAAGTTGATGGCAGTTTGATGCGATACAACAGTTTGTGAGCTTAATCGAGGGATGCGTGACTAAAAGCGCAAGACAGATGGGCATTTCATATAGTAGAGCGCATCCCTTCAGCTAATACAAAGATATCGCTGGAATTGATCTGGACCCGAGAGAACGGCTGAGTACGGTTTTCGTATGGTTACACACTTGGCGCCTCGCCTGTTCAGCTGGTCTTGGTATTGCACTTTCAAACACATTCCGGCCATGTCTGTCAGACTCCAGATAGGGAGGTAAGAACTCTCATTGGAAAATTTGGCACATGTGATCTTGAACTGGAACGCCATCTTTCTTCTTTGGTGTCTGATGTCGGAAGCTTTCAAACTGGCTCACGATAACATCATTGGTGGTCATCTCAGGGCGATTTCTAGCTTCTTTGAGTATGCTTGTATTGATAATTGTGGTTTGATAGACATGATGAAGCATGCAATTGAAGAGCCTTGTCGTTAGATGGAAAAGCAGCTGTGCGTGCTAACCTGGGAATAGCCTCACTTAGAATCACCCTGAGAGGCCAGCCACATGTGGCTTGGTCTCTAGTGGCTGAGAAATCAGTTTACATAATCCAGGCCCCGCCCCCATGTTGAAAACTTCGCGCCTGCGCATTTCCCCTCCCCAAGGTCGAAAACCATCATCAAACGAACATTTCAGCACGCACAAGCCCAGGGCAGCCAGCCAGCTCCGTTTCCCATACCCCGCCAAGGTCAGGCATTCGTGCATGGTAGCTGTGGTGTCATCGGCTGAAACTGGGCAAAGCAGGACGCACGCGCGCATCATAATCAAGTGCAGCGGCCACCCCTTCAAGCCACCACAACGACCGCATTCGCGTCGGAAGCGCAGTCGCTGCAGACTCTTCTCTACATTTGTCGGCTTCGCCAAATCGGCGTCTGAGCCGAGGTCGGTCGTTTGGGAATTCCCGCAGCCAGTCGGGGAGGGAGGTCCGGTCCTCGACCAACAGGAGGAAGAGGAGGACATTGCCCAAAAAGTATTCTCCAAAAACTCGGTAGGCTTTATTTTTTGCAGCCTTTCCTTACCAATCAATCTGCATCTTGCTTGGCGACATCAAGAAAGGGGGGGTCCGAGGGAGAGAAGAGGAAACGCAACGCACCTGAGGCTACTTACCGTCTGCTTCAACTGCTGCCTGCTTTGCTACACATGTGAAATGTTGACTAACTCCCTATCGCTTGTGAGGTTTTAGCATCAAGTTCGTACGTATAGCGAGCGACTTGTTGCAACCGGCGGACTGCCCAAACCCCCAACACGGGCTACCCCTCTTCGTCTTACACCGCTAGAAGGGACAGCACAGGCCCCCTCTGCGGAGCCGATCCGTCGCAAAGATGCCGGCCATGCTGGACGACCCGGCGAGCCCCACAATCTACCGCGTCTCCGGCGCCCCGCCGTATCCGGACCCGAACAAGCCCGAACTCCCGGCCGACATCGTCCCCCGTCAAGTGACCCTCCGGGACCGCCAAACCGTCGCCACCATTATCCCCTTCGCGTCCCAGCATGAGGTCCCGCAATCCCTTGTCCGCTACCTCAGCGACCAGCTCAACAAGGAAATCGAGGGCGGCGACACCTACCCCATGACCGACCGCATGCCCGCCGACAAGTTCGGCGCCTACTGGTTCCAGAATTTCGGCGCCATCATGCTCCTCGGCAACGTCGACCGCGCCGACCTCGCCGAGGACATGGACTGGTCCCGCGAGTGCCTTGGCAGCTTCTACATCAAGCCCAACTACCCCGGGCGCAGCTCGCACGTGTGCAACGCCGGCTTCCTCGTCACCGACGCCTCGCGCAACCGCGGCGTGGGCCGCCTCATGGGCGAGTGCTACATCGACTGGGCGCCGAAGCTGGGCTACACGTACTCCGTCTTCAACCTCGTCTACGAGACCAACGTCGCGTCGTGCAAGATCTGGGACGCCCTCGGCTTCAAGCGCATCGGGCGCGTCAAGGGCTGCGGCAACCTCAAGTCGCACCCGGGCGTGCTCATCGACGCCATCATCTACGGGCGCGACCTCGTCCCCGGCGAATCCGAGGAACTCGTGAGTGAAGAGCGTTTCGACAAGATCAAGTTCTACCTCAAGTACGGCAAGTACCCGGCGGGGGCTGACCGCGCCGAGAAAAGCAGGCTCCGCAGCGCCGCGACGCACTATAAGCTGCTGGACGGCGACCGGCTGATGCTCAAGGACAAGGAGGTTGTCCCGGACCCGCGCCGCCAGTACGAGATCGCCCGCGAGGTCCACGTCGCCAGCCACGGCGGCATCAACAAGACGACGGCCACCATTGCCGAGAAGTACCACTGGAGCCGCATCAAGGAGACGGTTAGTGACGTGATCAGGAACTGCGCGGAGTGTAAGGAGCTGGGGAAGATGCCGGCGCCGGGGGGTAACGGGGGCGCGAGGGGAAGGGCGGCGGCGGCGGCTGCTGCTGCTGCGGCTGCCTCGAACAAGAGCGTGCCCATGACTAACAATTCTCTTTCGAACTCTACTTTATCTGCTTCTTCATCTACACCGATGCCGTCTGCCGCGAGCGTCAGCGCCGCTGGTCGCGTTCTGGCGCTGCAACCACACCATCTACCGCCTCTTTCACCACCGCGGTCGTCGCCGTATGCGGAGGTCGCGTCAATACCTCCGTCACATACCCTCCGCGACCCGTCTGATTCACCTTTACCTCGCCATCCGCATCATAATCCCATGTTACAAGACGAATCTTACCAGCCTATCGACCCGCAGATCATTGGACCGCCGCCGACGTCGCATGATCCGTATAATCATTACCACCCGCACCATACAGATTTCCAAGCTTTGCTGAATGCTACGGAAGCTGAAGAGACGCCGGAGGAAGCAGCCGCGGTGGATCGAGACTTGGACATGTTGATAGAGCAAGGAGACGAGGAAGAAGATGACGTTGATGAGCCTATGGGAGACAAGGGACGGGACAAGGAGATGTACGGGATGGGGTACTCCGCGGGATGAGACGAATTGACAATTCTTGGCGTTCGAGGGCAGACGTGGCGGTGGTGTTTTCTCTTGCATTTTCTTAGACCCTTTTGCATACTTGGCAGGCATAGCACTCGAAGACGAATAGACTTCCTACTTCTCTTACATCCCGTCGTCTCGAGAAAGAACGCCAAGGCAGAGCACCAGGGCCAAATACCTGCCCTCGTCGCATGTACGATACCGAACGAACCCATCCTGACGGAATTCCGACTTTTAACAATCTCCAGGACTGCTTTCAATTCAGCCAGTATTTCAACGGTGTGTAGATGTGTCTCAGGTGTCTTATGCGTGTACACTAGTATATGTGTTCTCCATGTTGTTGACTTGCTGACATTGTCGGGCCCTGTCAACCGCTATCAAAAGAGTAGGAGAAGCGTCCCAGAACAGATTCCTCACTACCGAGCCACAGAAACACCAATCACTTCAGCCTGACGACACGCGGGATAGGCAATATTCTGTTTAATTGTCAAAAGTGGTAGGTGTTCGGGCGAAAGTTCATGCACTAATGCGGGTTGTTGGATTATCAACCAAGGGCAGTCTTATTGACCCCTGGTTCTCTCTGTCCTGGACCCGATCTGCATGTCGTACTGTGTCGTGTAACGTGAAAGTCGTACTTCGTACTTCGCACTTCACTGCATTTTAATCCCCTCCGGAGGCGTCGTTTTACTTGCTGCTGAAAGGTACTGTACGTACTGCTCTAATATTTGCCGCGCTTCTAGTGGAGTGTGAATTACTTCCAAGCTGCTGAAAGTTACATGAATACTCAAGAAGGCTGTTCTGTTTGTAATAACATTATTAACATGCTGTTTTCTCAATCCCGTCCTTCGACAAGTCATTTGGAGTTCTGAATAAGCTCGCCAGATTTCATGTCTACTAGGTAGGTACGCGTTGCCAATTGTGGTCACCTCGTTTCAACCCGTGGGCACCGCAATTTGACATCTGAAGAATCACTCGCAACAAAGCAATCTCTCTCCTATGCTTGAATGACTTGTATGCCCGTCAAATGGGAATTTCCTGGATTCATGCTGCTACTTGATGACAGCACGTGGACCGATCATGACAGACGACAAATGACCCAGTCTATTCAGACTTCTGGAAGCCAAAACCCCTGTGGGGCAATTCTAGGTATCATGCAGACGCCATTCATCAAATCCTTTTGACTTTTTCCTTTTCCATTCATTTTCTAGTCATAACCACCTTACCGGCGAGGCATACCCCGGCCTCTACCTCTCAGAGCGCGCTGGGCGGCACCAGGGGGCAGAGCCTGGCCAGGGGCCTGAGGCGCGGCGCTCTCCTCGTTGCGAATCGTCTCGTCGACGCCGAGAATGAGGCAGCTGGCCTCGGTGGCAGCCTGGATGGCGTTGATCTTGACCAGCGCGGGCTCCCAGACGAAGCGCTCCATCATGTCGGTGACGCCCTCGTTGTTGAAGTCGACACCAGACCACGTGTTGCCCTTGCGGTGCTCCACGCGCAGCTTGTTGAGAATGTCGGTCGCGTCAAAGCCGGCGTTGTCGCAGAGCTGGCGGGGGATGATCTCGAGAGCCTTGGCGAAGCTCTTGATGATGGCTTGTTGCTTGTGGGGGATGTTCTTGTCGGCGAAGCGGTGGAGGTAAGCGGAGACCTCCATCTCGGTGGCACCACCACCACCGACGATGGTGTGGTTCTTGATGGCGCGCTTGACGATCATAATGGCGTCGTGCAGCGAACGCTCGACCTCGGCGATGAACTGCTCGGCACCACCACGCAGCATGAGTGTGCAGGTCTTGGCCTCGGGGCAGCCCTCGAAGAAGTTGAAGCGCTCGCCACCAATTTGGCGCTCCTCAAAGCTGCCGCAGGTACCGAGGTGCTCGGCCAGGATGTCAGAGCACGTTGACTGAACAGTTGCGCCGGTAGCCTGGACCACGCGCTCCATATCCTGGGCGGCAACACGGCCAGCGCAGAAGACGTCGCGGTCGGCGAAGAACTGGGTAGCCAAGTCACCAATGGGCAGCTTGCTGAGAACGACCTTGGCACCGGTCTTGTAGATAGCCTCCAACTTTCTGTAGATAATCTGCCACTCCGCATCGACAACGGCCTGGTAATCCGACACCTGCTCGACGCGCACCTCGGCGTTGTCCTTCTCGGCCTTTAGCTCCAACTCGACGTTCAGGCACACAATCTTGGGCTTCTGGAAAGACTTGGGTTGTTGCTCGAAACCGGCGTAGGAGAAGGTCTTCTTGAAGGCGACGCCGTTGACGAAGAGGGAGTCGGTGAGGGAACCACCGGGAATCTTCTTGACGCCGATCAACTTCTCGTTAAGGTCGTCTTGGTCGAGGGAAAGGACGGCGTCGACAACCACTGCGATACGTTAGAACTGGCACTATCGGAGGGTAATCGTGTCGACGTACTCTTTGTGAAGAAGTCGGTGTTGCGCTTAATCAGCTTGCTCGTCATGGCAGTGGCGGCCAGCTTGCTAAGTGTTTCCCTCCTGTTGCCCTCGTTGGTATCGATCGCGATCTCCTTGACCTTGTTGACCGCCATCATGGACGCTCTTCTCAGACCCTTGATAATGACCTGGGAGCTGACGCCCTGCTCGACGTGCTCCTTGATCTCCTTGAGGATCTCTCCGGCCAGGACGACGACGGATGTTGTGCCGTCACCAACTTCGGCATCTTGTGATCTCGCAATGTCGACGAGGATTCGGGCTGCGGGGTGGACAATGTCGAGGAGCTATCGGCGTGTCAGCAATTCAACCTCCATCATGCTGCCCGCATCGTTCTTCCTGACCTTCATGACAGTAGCACCATCGTTGGTGATGGTCTGCTTGCCGTTGGCGTCGACCATCAACAGGTCGCCGCCATAGGGACCGAGAGTGGACTTAATGGTGGCCTGGACAGCCAAGCATGCGTTGATGTTGGAGATAATCTGACCCTTGCCCTGAGAGGTATCGGTTCCTGCGCAAGAGACTCGTCAATCGTGGCCCGCGGGCGGGCAAGGGGCGGTGGGGTAAACTCACCCTCTTTCAGGACGATAATGGTCGGGGTCTGGCCTCCGAACGACATCTTGGTGGATTGTTTGTGTGACGACGAGTACAAGGCCAAAGGGAGCGTGTCGTTGGGTTTGGCGAGGTTCGTGTGTCGTCGCGGGGAGGCTGAGGTTCGGCTGTTCGTGGCCCAAGAAGCTTCTGGAGCTCCCAAAAAATTATTGCAGCCTTTCGTGATGCCCGCCGGGCACGGACCAGTGTGTGTTGTTGCCTTACCTCATATGGCGATTATGTAATTTAGGAGGGGTACTGCGACCCCGGTCGCCCCTGCCAGCCGCAGCCCCACCAAACGTCTTCTCCTTTCATCAACAGTTGAGCTTCGAAGGCACAGTTCACAGTGTTGTCCTCACAACGATGTGGGTTCTCGAGATGATGTTGGCTGTGAGCATCTGCCGAGTGGCAGCATTTTTCTGCAAAGTCCCTCCCTAGGAAATGGTCGATATCGACTGAAATGTCCACCTGCGCCCCTCGTGGTCCCTTGCGGCAGCCAACCATTGCTATGCATCCATCCTACCAATCGGCAGCATGTTCAACTGCAGGCTGACAATCCAAGCTAACAATCTCTCTCAAGCTCATTTTCATCACTGAACTCCTGCCTAATTCTCACGACAGACAATAGGAAGCAGGTTCCGGATCGAGTACACGCGTCAGAATTCTCATGTCTACCATCACCTACCGCGAAGGGCTTAGCGGCCAGGAGATTCGTCTCCTTCGTCTTCTGCCTGGCGAGTGGCTCGAAGACCTCGTTGCGGAATTGTATGTCGCCGACCGGGATCAAGACTATGTTGCGTTATCCTACGCTTGGGGTAGCACACGAAGGTCCAACAAGATCATTGTCAACCGTCATGTCCACTTCATCACCTTCAACCTCGACCGGGCGCTGAGGGCCATTCGCCGAACCACAGGATCCATCGTCATTTGGGTGGATTCCGTGTGCATCAACCAGGAAGATGCTGTCGAAAAAAGCCACCAAGTCGGATTAATGCACGACATTTTTGGTTCTGCCACTGAGGTTATTGCCTATGTGGGCGATGGCTTGGATCGCAGTCGTCAAGATTACCCTCGCCGCTTCGCAAGACTTGGACTGGCCGATCCGGTGCGTTTCACTGGCAAACGGACGGACTTGCCTGTTATCGAGAGATCGATCAGTCTTTGGCAGAACTCGACGTCAGGGTCGCTAACAGAACACGAGGAGATGCTATGTCTTTACGGTATTATTTCGGCCCAACTGCATGAGAGCTTAACGCATCCAGCACAGAAGCGGATGTTTCACCTGGGCAATGCGATTGATGAACGGCGTTTGCGACTAATGTCGGAGAGAATCCGTCTTTTCGCCGTTAGCGACTGGTGGAATCGCATGTGGATTATTCAGGAAGCCTGCGTTGCGAAAGAGCTCACCATTATGTACGGTCGCGTCTCGATGCCGTTCAGCATCATTGGACACGGTGTACACGATATTTTAAGCTCTTCTGTCCCTGGTATTACTGAGTTTGCCAAAGTGGTTTCATTCTTGGCCGAAAAGGCCGACGCGATCAACTTCCTACGCGTGACAAGATCCTATAAATCGCTACCCTTCGCAAACAACAGCCCGCTCCTCTGGTTGCTGAGAAATTTCCGGAACAGGCGATCATCCGAACCCCGCGACAAGATATTCGCCCTGCTTCGACTTGCTCGCAACTTTAAAACGGAAGCACACTATGCTAAATTTGACTTGAATATCGATACCGACTACAAAGTCAGCGTCCACACGCTCTTTGCACACGTGGCCTACGAAATCATCAAGCAAACTGGTCTGTTCTGGGTTACAACATTCGACCTCCTCGCGAAAAGTCGAAACGATGTCCCTTCGTGGGTTCCTGACTGGTCATCGGACTATGCGGTCCCCGGTTGGAATCAACACCGCGTGCGCCTCCACGGAGAGCTCTTTCAGATGTTTAACGCCAGTCGTGCTAGGTTTCTACACTCCCAGCATGACGGCTTAGAAGATCTCTATGTATTACCACAGCAGCATTTCCAACGCTTGGCTGACGGGGATCTCATTACCGGTTCCAACTGGCAGCCAATTCATCACCTACCCGCTCAGGTAGCTCCAGTACCCCCCGAAGCACAACCGTCATTTGTCTTGACCGTCTCCGGGGCTGCGTGTGGAGAGATTTTAGGCGCCACTGATCCTTTGGCGAGCGACTTTGCCAATCTCGGAGAGATACTCTACCAAATCATCACAATATGCCGGCTTTTCAAGGATGAATTTCAGCTCCAATATCGCAAGCCCTTTGTGGAGATCATTTCGCGTATTCTTTCCTTTTCGGCGAGAACCCAACGGAGTCCTGGTGGCTATAGATCACCACGTTGGCTAAGCAGCACAGAAGAAACACAGTTGTCTTTCTGGGTGTTGGTCCGTTTTCTGGCGTCACCCTTTGCGAACTACTGGCCGCGCAAGGAATCCTACAGCGAAGACGATATCATGATCTGGGACAAACACCTCCAGGAGGATGAAGAATGCAGCTTGCGCATCAGCGAGTGCATTGGCGATCCTCCACTATTCTGGACAATCTCGTCTCAAGCAGAGATTCCCGCCAGCGACGACGATCTAAGCCTTCCGCTCTTCACATTTACCAGCGATTTCAATCTCAGAACCGACCAGAAGGATGTCAAATCGACGAGAACATGGCAGGAAGACGAAAGCTGGGTGGAAGGTACCATCAGAGCCGTGGCCAGCGGCAGTAGACTCTTCGTGACCTCCAAAGGGCAGCTTGGCTTGGGCCCAGAAAAGACGCGCACAGGAGACGCGGTCTGCATCCTCGAGGGTGGTCTCATGCCCCATGTCTTGCGGAAACGATCAGAAAAACGCGGAGTCACCATGGTGGGAACCTGCTACGTTGAAGGGCTCATGCACTGGGGAGGCGAGGCAGGATACCATGCGGACAACGCGAGGGACACCGAGGGCCTGGAACACAAGCTGAGGCGACGATTGCGAGACCGTGATATTTCGGAGGAAGACTTTCTGCTTTACTGATTCAAGCGCGACACTGGGTCGGTGGGTCGACAGTCTATTTGAGCGGCCGCTCCGAACAGATGCCATGCGCCCGACCCAGCTCGACGGTCCCTTGCCATTACGGACAGCCCCTTATTCTCATTAACCTTAGCACGTCATCCAACTATCGCTGTAACTCGTCAAACCATGTGCCATGATGTAACCCACCGGCATGCGTATCGACCAGAAACAGACGAATACAGGAATTCAAAAGTCATCACCACGGCGATCAACCTGCGGATCCGAACTCCATTGAGCCCTTCTATGGCGCGGGATAAGCTTTCCCTAATAGAACGACATGCCATAGCTAATGCAGTGGGCCCCGTCCTTCGTGCGACACGAGCGAAGCGGAAGAGCTCTAGAATCGCTTGCCTGGTTTCCTCCGTGCGAAGTTAGCCAGCAATTATACAGGCTTCATTTTTTCGAGTGCCGGGGCAGAGCCAGCTCGTTCGGCTTATCAGCTGCTAGTACCGTTTACACCGCATCCCTGGGACAACGGCCCTGCCATCATTCCTCCCTCGGCTCAGCTAAGCCTCCAGCCTCACGTGGGTTTCATTCCCTTGATTGCCCAAGCATGCAGTGGAAAATACAGGGGCGCGAAGCATTCCCGCCAGGTCTATGGACAGCGCAAGCCACAAACAACGATCCTAACCCAACGAAGGACAGCCCAGCTTAGTCACCGGAGTAAACTCCATGAGACTCTTCCCTCCATTTTCTCCTTTCGTATCAACTCCGAAGCGGCAGTCGACCGGCCGAGATGGGGGGAAAGACACGCGAGACATTCGCACACTGGCCACAGGGATGAGACAAGCAGGGGTCTGGAATGATTGGCGCTCAAGGGCGTTTTGCCCTCCATGCCTGGCACTGGGAATCCTCATTCTGCGAATCCCTGGTTCCTGGGATGTGGGTGAGACCGTCGACGCGGCGGTGGGGGGATGAGAATGGCGATGCCTCGTTTTCTTGTTGTCCCCACGGGCGTTGGTCTTGGCAAAAATGGAAGGGAAGAAGAAAAAGGACGAGCCTTACCTCTTCTCTCTACCCTCGCCCCTTTGCGTTTCTGGACACACAGACGAAACTTTAACTTCGACCGGCTCTCTCCGCGGTTCATCTTTGGTGACTAGGAGGACGTTTCGTTGTCTCTTCTTTTGAATTTGGCCCATTTCTCTATTAGGAGAAGCTCGTGGCTCCTAGCCCCGACCATCGTCGAACTGTCGATAGAACCTTGCTGTTTGGCGTTGGAGCTGTCTCTCATAGACCTAGCATCAACATGAATTGGCTAAGGAAAGCGGCCGTTTTGGCTGTCTTATCCTTGTCGACAATTGCCAATGCAGACCAAGTCTTTCCTGGTTGTTACAACATGGTCGCTATCGGCGGTAATGGAGACCCAAATTATCAACCACGAACTGGCCCGGACGTCAACCAGACGAGCTGTGCCGAATTTTGCGCACCCTTTCCCTACTACGCACGACAGAGAACAACTTGTACCTGCGGAAACACCGTCACCGGAGACAGCATCGACATAAGCTTTTGCGACCCTTCGAATTGTGAGGGCACTGGGGACGACCACTGTGGTGCTGCCGGCTACGATTACATTCTGCAACATGATCCTGTCACAGCCACCAGCACCACGTCCACGGCAACTGAGACCTCTACCGCGGATGATACTTCTGAAACTGATTCTACCGCTACTGCTACCGATGATGCCACCGCTACCGACAGTACGGCTACCGCAACGGATGATGCCACTGCCACGGATGAGGCGACGGCTACGGACACAGACAGCGCTGCTACTGCTACGGACAGCACAACTACCGCGACGGACGAGGCTACAGCCACTGATGAGTCCAGCACAGCCACTGATGAAGCGACTACCACGGACACAGATAACACTACGACAGCCACGGACGAGGCCAGCACAACCACTGATGCCGCCAGTACAACTACCGATGAGGCCAGTACAACTGCTGACCCGGACGAGGTCGCCACTACAGACAGTAGTACATCCACGGCTACGGACGAAGCTACTTCCACGGATTCCAGTTCAACTGAGGAACCGTCTAGCACCACTGAGACATCCAACGAGGCCACTAGCACAACCGAGGATGCCAGTACAACGGAAACTTCCACAGAGGCCGCTAGCACAACCGAGGATACCAGTACAACAGAAACCTCAGTTGGAGTGACAAGCACAACTGAAACTTCGAGCACAGAGACTTCCAGCGAGCCGACCAGCACTGAAGAAGACGTCATCAGCACATCGACCGAAGCAACTAGCTCTACAGAAGAAGCGAGCACAACGGCGACCTCTACAGAAGCAACTAGCACAGATGAGCCAAGCTCAACTGAGGCTACTTCGACGGAAGATACATCAACAGAAGCTGCATCGACTGATACCAGCGCCACCGAGACATCTACCGAGATTAGCACGACTGAGACGTCCACTGAAGCTAGCACTACGGCCACACCCGCGGAGACTAGCACTACGGCGACTTCAACTGAACCTAGCAGCTCGTCAACGGAGGTCGAATCTACCAGCTCCACGGAACCCTTGTCTACCAGCACAGCGGAGGTCGCGTCAACAACGGCATCGTCCGAGACTTCCGCCGAGCCGACTACAACTTCCACTTCTTCCGAATCACCGATTGCGACGACCAGCACCACATCTCCTGAATCATCTACTGACCCGAAGACGAGCAGCACCAGCTCGGAGCCTCCTGTTGAATCGACTACTGCCACATCCAGCTCCGAGCCTGAGTCGACCACCAGCAGCGCGACATCTGAAGCTCCTGTTGAGCCAACGACAAGCACCTCCTCTACTACGCAAGAGACGCCCAGCAGCACAAGTTCCGAGCCCACGGTCGAGTCGACGAGCTCCTCCACGTCCGAAGTTCCCGTTCAGTCGCCCACAAGCACTTCAACTGAGCCTCCCGCGCAACAGACTTCAACTTCTTCTACGGAGCCCCCGGTGGCGCCTACAACGAGCACCACAACCTCCGAGCCCCCTGTGCAGCAAACATCGACTTCCTCAACGGAAACTCCAGTCCAGCCTACGACTTCGTCTACTTCTACGGAAGTTCCAGTCCAGCCTACGCCTACTTCGACGTCTTCGACGGAGAATCCTGTCCAACCGACTACGAGTTCTTCCACTGAAGCCCCTGTCCAGTCAACTTCGTCTTCAGCACCTCCTGTTCAACCGACGTCGAGCAGCAGTACATCAGAGGTTGCAGTGTCAAGCTCAACCCCATCTCCCTCGCCTTCGCCGTCGCCTTCGCCTTCACCATCCCCCTCGCCTTCCCCGTCGCCTTCACCAACCCCCTCGCCTTCCCCGTCGCCTTCACCAACCCCCTCGCCCTCGCCTTCGCCCTCGCCTTCGCCCTCGCCTTCGCCCTCGCCTTCGCCCTCGCCTTCACCATCCCCCTCACCTTCGCCAGAGCCCAGCCCGTCTCCGTCACCGGAACCTTCTCCCAGCCTCTCGCCATCTCCGAGCCCCTCACCGGCTCCCAGTCCATCACCAGAGACTTCACCAAGCCCAACTCCCAGCCCCTCGGAATCTCCCTCCCCGATTCCTACCCCAGAGCCCGAGTCTTCCCAAAGTCCGCCACCCGTGCCCTCCTCGGCAGATGCGCCGCCGAATTCAACCCCACCGGCAAGCCCGACATCGCCTTCGTCAGGCGGAACGGTCACCTCGGCAAGCCCATCATCTTCTGCATCTGTTTCAATCTCTGTACTCAGCACCGAGCCCGTGGCATTCGAGGAAGTCTTCAAAATCCAACCTGGCGAAGCTTTGATCGTGAACTTTGAGGTTATCGACCCTGTCACCGGTGAGAGGTCCACTGCTCCGTTCGTTGTGCAGTCTCAGGGCTGCAGAGGTGTTACGCCCGGGGAGTCACCATTCAGTGGGAACACGCTCACCGACGCTGCAAGCTATAGTGCGGCCACTTGCGCCGTCTACTGCGCGACCAAGGGGCTCACCAATACTGGTGCCGACCAGGGCACCTGCTACTGTGGTAGTGTTATCAAGGATCTTCCTCTCATCCCCGCGGAACAATGCGCGGCGGCTGGGAACAAGCGTCGTCGTGGTTTCCGTCTTGGCAAACGCCAAAGCGCGGTTAACGCCATTCCCTTGTTTGCAGTCATTCCGGCATCGCAGGTGGCCATCACTCCTGCTACTGTCACATTGTCGTCCTCTAGCATCGCAAGTCTCCCATTGGCGAACAGCGCACCTGCATCAACCACTGCGAGCACCATCTCCATGACGACGTCAGGAGCTAGCACTGTATCTGTCAGTGTCTCGACGACGCCTGGTAGCCTGTCAGGAAGCAGCGCCCAGTCCAGCCCTGTTGCGTCTGGATCGACCCCAGCCTCTTCATTAGGGTCGGCATCTGTCTCACTGTCTGGAGTCAGCTCCTTGCCTAGCTCAGTGCCTCCAAGCAGTTCATCACCAACCAGCCGTGGATCTAGCAGCTCGGCCATATCCGTGCCGTCAACAATTGTCCCGTCAACAGGTGTCCCGTCAACAAATGTGCCGTCTAGCCCTGTCTCCAGTCCAGCCGCCACTGGCCAATTTGTGGGAGAGTTCATTCTGGCTATTGTCGGCGGCATAGCCCCGAGCAGTGTCCCAAGCATCAGTAGCTCAGGCTCCAGCACCCGTCCAGTCTCGACTCCGAGCTCGTCAATGGCAAGCAGCTCTCTAGCTACAAGCTCGTCAAGCCCTGTGTCTATGGGATCCAGCTCTCGCACTTCGAGCACCCCTGGCGCGTCAGTGTCCACGTCAAGTGTTGTCTCCTCTGGCATCGGGAGCTCCTCCATCGCAATCAGCTCATCTCCTCCTGCCTCCTCTCCCGGAAGCGGTATCTCAAGCGCGTCTTCTTCCCCGCCGGCATCCCCAGTTATCACGGCACCAATCTCCAGTCCATTTTCCGTAAGTAGCTCTGCGACGTCAAGCAGTCCGGTGCCTTCAAGCTCGCCTCAGCCCAGTTCCCCATCATCGAGCTCTGCTCCAGCTAGCTCCCCATCAAGCTCTGCTCCTGTCACCTCCTCGTCAAGCTCACCTCCATCGAGTTCCCCACCCTCCAGCTCTGCTCCCACCACCTCACCAAGCTCTTCGCCTTCCAGCTCGCCTCCGGTTACTTCATCTTCATCCATCCCCGTTCCAACGACGTCTTCGTCGAGCTCTCCCTCACCTAGCTCCTCGCCCTCTAGCTCGCCGCCGGTCACTTCATCTTCTTCATCATCCTCTTCCAGCTCCGTTCGGCCTAGTAGCTCCCCACCTCCCATCATTCAGTCAGAAAGGCCTTAGTCGCTGAATAGTTCGCCTCTTCTAAGGACGTTGATCTTCGATGTCGTCAACATAGACTCTAGGAACCTCGACTACCGCGCATTGTCCGGGTCTAAGGTATGATGGACATGGATCCGATTTGGTGCCTCATGTATCGTGGGCACCTCTGGATTCGAGGCCGTTGGATGTGTGGCGCTTGGTTCAGCTGCCAGAAACGAAAATCTGTAATGTGAAGGAGAGTGTGATTCGACTTGGGTTCTTTTGTAATGAGTAGAGAGTATAGACGCGCAGGATCTGAGTTGTTGTTGGAGAACACCATCTTGCTTACCTTATTTATGATGATTTCTACTGAAACCTGTGGTGATATATAAACAGTTACCTTTGGTATGATGTTTGGCAGTTTGGTCCACTCTCAAGTGGGCTTAGCAATTCTTCTAAAGTAGAGCGAAGCCGCCAAGCATAACATCAAAAGCAGATGGTGGTGTGCGTGGCGACAGGTTCAGCATAGTAAAACAGGCGTACATCCAAAGTATTGAAAATGGTTTCGTAAAGTATATTGTACAATGAACTATGCATCGAGGCAGAGAAGCCCCATGATTCTCAATATTCCAGCCACCAGAAACTCCGTCAATGCTTCGTGAAGATGGTGGCTTAACCGCCGTAGCAGTACTTGCTCAGGTTGGGGTTCAAGTTGCCGCAGACGCAATCACCGGCGGGGGCACTAGTAGAATTGTTAGTTATCACATTTGGCAATGAAGATACAGTCCGACGTACCCGTGCTTCTGGAACTTATAGAGGAAACCGTTGGGGTTCTCAACAGTGGCGTCAGGGCATGCCTTCAGGCAGGTATCGTCAACCGGGACGCGGTTGTTCGGGTTGTCGACGCAGATGGCGGCGTTGGTCCACATGCAAGCGTTGGCACCCTGCTTGTGGCAGGCCTCAAGCTGGGCCTGGCAGCACTTGTCTGTGGCAACCTCATAAGCCCAAGCCGGAGCGAGGACGGCGAGAAGGGTCGCGGCAATGAAGGAGAATTGCATTGTGATTGACGAGGTTTAAAAGGAGCGTGTGAGTGACTCAAGGATGGATGTAAAGACTGATAGATGTTGACTGTGCTGCTGGTCAGAATTACGGTTCGTTGGGCTGGGAACTGGTTCTTATATGCTCATGGCTACTAATCAGAAACAACCATGAGAGTGATAAGCCGTGAGGCTCGGGATATGGCCCACACGGCTTTTGCACATTGATCCGATTTCCGAAGACACTGCCTCCATTGTGGGATACCGAGAAGTCTTGAGGCTGACAACGGTAATATATTTGACATCGGCAAGTTCGTGACTAGCTCCTTTCTAGAAGAGTGAAGTGGATAAACAATTGGGCTCACATGAATCGTACAACCATGGCAGATCAATTAAGCTTTCTCTCGTTGTCACGCTACCAACTTCAACTCTAGAGAGCCGCAATCGAGCACCCCTCGTAACCGGATGATTGCCTGCTGTATGGCGCATTAAAAGTTTTGGCAACAAGTCCTCCGAATGGGTTTTTACTTTCCATGGTACAGCCCAAGCCGACGCCTGTGAAGTTTTTGTAACAGCACGGCTGGAATTCTTTTAGAAGTTACCATGCCATGAGTCGTAAAGTATTTGGCGTGGATTTCCCTGCCCAACTAACTTCTGTTACTCGTCCGTGTCCGCCCCCACCATGAGACCATTCACTGAAAAACCGAACGGGCGCACCGGTAAGCTTTGGAATAAAGTTTACATGTTCATCCATCATTTGATCCGATCTACGAGACTTGCCGTTTGATTTGAAAAGCATGAACTTGGCACTATACGGTCGGTCTCCGAGGGCAGAATATCATCAATACGTAGTCTCATTCTCGTATCCGTTACACACGCTACTAGTGAATGTTCTTCTGGAACGCCGTAAGGTTTCCTCTTTTGGGAATATCAGGTGACTGATCGAAATCTGAAAACCGGGATCTCGGCAAGAATAACTGTTCACGAACTCCAAGATTGAGTTTACATGTTCATCTGGCATTTCCTGGATTGGGGGCGCAGATCTTGCTGCCTGGGATAGTCATTTCCCAAATGGACCATTTGAATCAAAAGAAAGTTTTCTAATATCTGTGAGGCTCGCGAAAGCGAAGTTTTCCTTCGCACTCATTTTCCGATATCCGAGAATCCCGCGCGGAGTTGGAAAATGCGGCTAATGGCGACTGACTTGGTGATGGGATGAACATATAAGATAAGCTCAACGGCTGTCACGTCTTTCCATCTCTCATCCCTCACAACAACAACATTCACTCTTTAGAGCTCGAAGCATACACTCGTTACCTCACACTCTTTACGTCTTCAATCAATTCGCCAAAATGAAGTCCTTCCTTCTCCCTCTCGCGCTCTTCATCGCCGCCGCCCAGGCGCAGTTGATCCTCGGCGCGCTTGCTCTCATCGAGTTCACCATCGAGATTCTCGAGGCCGAGGCAGTCGTGGCGACAGTTGAGGTCTCCGTCGACGCAGCCCTTACCGGTGCCGAGGCTGCTGAGACCGCCGTGATCGAGGGCTCCATCACCAACGTCGGCACCACCGTCACCCGCGTCGGCGAGGGGGCCATCGAGCTCGAAGGCGAGGCATCCCTGTCTGGTTTCGGCCGCGTCGCGACCGAGGGCCCCGGCTTCGCCCAGGGAACCTTCACCTACCGCCAGCCCTACCCTCTCGGCGTTGGTGCGGGCCGCAGTGCGACTGCGAACCCGCAGATCTCTCTCAACTTTGGCGCTCGCACCAACGCTATCCGCTCCGGAGGAACTACCAAGATCAACTTCAGCAACCCCTCCATCAACAACGTCCGTATCACCAACCCCGGCGGAGCTCGCACCAGCGTCCGTATCAAGGGTCAGCCCCTCACCAGGCTTCTTTCTTCTAGCTAGACGGCGAATCATGGGACGAGGGTTGGTCCAAGAAGCTTCTCAGGAATGATGCTATGGTCATATTTCAGTTGGCCTGGTCGCATATCTCCGCTGGCATCTGTTGCTGTCACATGGTGTGAAGTTCATGCATGGATTGTCTTGTTGTTAGCTAAAGCTGGGTTGGAGAGACCGCATCATGTCGGTTATGGTGGCTGATCAAATAAATCCACATAGACTTAAGTAGACATCATACAAATCGTTCAATAGTATGTTCAAATGAGGCTTCTTTTTGATGACTGCTATCGTGCCGATCGAGAGAAATGCTTAGTTTGCCCAAGCAAAGCCAATGGAATCAGATCCCTTGGTTAATCACTGAAGTACACGGAGACCAAAGCCGTCACACGAATCACGACAGCATATTCGACAACAAAAATGAGAGTGGTTTTAGCTAGCTACATGTACTTATCGAACAGGAGCATAACTATAGGCTAGAGTCACATCATAGAAGCAGTTGGCAGAATCAACAAAGACCACATCTCCTAGAGTGGCATTCTCATTCAGGGAATCATTGACAGGTATTGATGTACTCATTGTGGACAGCATGTTAATTGTTTTCTTCAATCATCCCAAGATGAGGGAGACGTCTTCCAAAGCCAACTCCTCCCATGCTGCCCGGTCGACTTCGCCACACGCAAGACGGTGAGCGATGCCATCGATCCACTCCACCCACAGTACGCTGTATACCTCCCAAGACGTGAAAGGAGCCGTGTAGCAGCCGATGCTATCATCAAAAGTCTGCTTGTACCGGCGTGCCCGACAAATAGCAACCAACTCGATCTCTTTCGCCATGGCCCAATCGGACTCTGATGGGGTAAAATGTTCCAATTGCTGCTTGTTGTGTAAATGAAGGCTCCCTATAACAACCTTCTTCTTGTTGTAAAGCTCAACTTTGTTGTATTGACCTGACTTGTAACTCGTGATGTCGTCGTCGTCACCTGCCTGAAAAGCAAAGACAAAGGCACGGCGAGTATCGCAATAAAGATATGGCGTCTGTTCTGGCATATATGGCTGTGTCGATTCGTCGATGTGCGGCACTGGAAACGGCCAGTGCCATTCGTGTTCATCACGACTTTCAGTCATGTTGCGGTGCCGGAAGGTAGATTCATCGCATCCGTCTGGATACAGCAGAACATCTCCGTCTTTTCCATCCCCGTATCCCGGATTGTTTACCTTTGGGATTACGTGTCGAGTCCACCCTGACGGGAGGGGCCTTTTGAAGTCTTTGTAAAACTCCCGATTCTCGTACCAGGTAGCTTTGATCTTGCGCTTCTGACCCGTGTTTGGAGAGCTGCAAGCATACCATGTGGTGATTGGGATCGTCTCCTTGATTTTCCAAGTCTTCAGATTTGCTGGACCAGCTTCCAAGCTTCCGATATCAACAAGTCCTTCCCACCCAATCCACGACCAGTATGGGAGAAGGCATGGATGGAGTCGGCTTGTATCGAAGCGTTCGGAATGTGTTCGTCGTCGGAGGTCGGTGTGATGCCAGGTAGGTTGCCAGCAAAGTGCCGTTTCGAGGAACATTTCAGGAATACCACAAATGAACCCTCCGGAGAAGCAGCGGCTGAACACAGTAAGTAATCCAGTTATGCCGGGCAAACAGTCCTCATCGTAGGATAACTTCATGTCGTTGTAGTAGCCGATCAGATTGCTGAGTGACCTGATATTTGGCATGCCGCGCATAATTTCCCCCACACGAGGATTTAGGTACTTCCCGGCTTCGACCCCGTGGTGTAAATGCTCTTCCCATACACTGCACTGACACATCCAGTGCAATGAGTCTTTGCTGAAAATGAGTCGTCTAGGAGACATATTGAACTCCTGAAACGTCCAACCACGTTCGTGGTACATACTCCATGAGGTGAGACCAAAGTAGTCGAGCTTATCTAAAATGAACTGCTCGTTACCAAATTGAATGGGGCCTTCGTCGTCCCGATCCTTTTCTCGTGAAATGTCTCTAAGGCCCGGAAAGCCATCTTCAGCATCCCGGTCTAAGGCAACGATGGTGAGAGATGCATTCGCATATATGGCCCCCATATTTTGAAGTTGTGTTGTGCTCTCGGCAATACGAGAATGGTCGATGCAAAGAGTATCGACCCAGAGATAGCGCTGGCCGACCGAAGAAGTCAGGGCTATGGCTTGCCGCACCATAGGCGCAAGTTGTGTGGCGATAGCAGGATCGTCGAGGGAGTTGGGCCTCTAGAGGTTTGACATGGTGTCACGTTGAATGTGCAAACCGGGAGCCTTTCCCCATCTATAGCTCAGAGCTATAAAGCTGGCGCATTTATCTCCCGGTACCAAACATTTAGCCTTTGTATCGACGACCCAGGCTGGACGATATGGCCATATCTTCATCGGGCTTTCGCACTTTGCGCCGTGAGAGGACATACATTGCTCCAGCCAGTGATTGACGACGCTCAAATCAACCCATTTGGGGTCCAGGAGGCGAGCGATACCGGGATGGTTCTTTACAGAATCCTTCCTAATTAGACAAAGTTCGGCACAACGGCCGAGATTTTGGATGGATTCTGTCAAAGCGAGAACGCCTGGGCGAGGGCGATGAATGCCTACGTCCTTCGATGTCTTCGAGGGGCGGAATGTTTGACCTGGTTGTTCGCAAAACTTCTTGAACCACTCAACAATGGGCTTGTGCCTTTTGCAGTTGGAACGTAGTGCCTCCTCAAAAGAGCCAAGATTGATTGATGTCCTCTGTACGTTGTCGGAAGAATCGCAGAGTCTGCTCCAGATGTCAGAGCAGATGTCGCACTCCGGAAAGTCATCAATCGTGATAACAGACATGGTGCTTTTCTTCTCCGTGTCTTGACTTTTGAGGAAGCCTAGAGCCAAAACAGTCAGCCAACGTTTGAATGTCAGCAGAACATAAGTACCAATAGAATTGTCCTTGTGAGTGATTGGATGTTTTGGTGTCTCTGAAATGCATTAAACACACATTCTCCTTCGATTCTTGTGCTCCCTGACTTCAAGAGGGAATTTGGACGAACTGTTGGTAGACTGATATCTGCCTTCTTGAACTGTGGGGAGGAAACGTCGCTCAGAAGCTAATCTTGTCCTTACTTATGATATGTCCTCAAGTCAGCAAGGCAGAATCGAAAAGCAGCCGGTGTCAGCCAATTGAGGGTGAGTGCGTTTTGTGCACCGATGTATTATGGCGTACTGACCATGTGGGGCTGATTCAGGCTCACTGCCGTGATGACCAAGATCGCCCAGCGTCTGCCAATGAGCAGCCTTGGGGGAGGAAATGGAATCTGACAGTCTCATGCAATATTGCGCAGGTAAGACGCGATTGCGGCAATACAAATGTAGATCCCTCGGGTCCGTTTCGATATGCACTATGAAATCAGTCACATGGAAAGCAGCTTTTGGACTGCCTAATGAAGGGGAAAGAACGCCAACATCTCAATAATCCCAGTAGTATGGAGCGAGAGTATCACGAAGCGAATTTGATACAAGGTCTGGCTAGTCAATTGGATGAATGTAATTGTGTTGCAACTAGCCAAGGTTTTCCTCGAATATGCGACAGGAAATAAGTACAGAGTGAGATTGCGCATTAGTCGACATGCTAAGAATTAGCCTCTTATCGTGCATCAAAGGCTGTGACTAAATATTCGGGCATCATGTTTGCAAAATGTACTTGGTGAAAAATCAGAGATCTATCAATGTACGCATGAGGCTTGAGCGTCCGATGATAGAATCTGATTAGTATGTGTCCAGGGGCCGCTGAGCGTTGTCAAGATCGAACGGGATCTTAGTCTCGTTGACACATTGGTTCTCAACGGGATTCGAAGCGAAACGATCCTGGATGAACCTGAGCCACTCAGGCGTCGCAGCCGTCAAAACAGCACTGTGATCTAGGCCCGGGTATACACTCAAGTGAATGATATTCCCGTGCCCACAAGAGTCCTTCCATGAAGCAGTACCGGACTCCTCCGAAACAATAGTATCCTCCGCTCCAAGAATTAGAAGCAGGGGCTTGGAAGCACTGTCACCTTGAGCAGGAGCGTTCAACTCCTGGAATTGCTTCAATATCGTGTCCGACTGGGCGGTGAAGTTAGATAGAGCATTGAAGCCCAAGTCGCTCGTGAGACCTGAGATAGCGGCGTCGCAGAACTGGCCGATCTTTGCAAGCTCGATTCGGGTCTTCATCGTCTGCGAAATGACTGGAGCTTCGTAATCTGGGAAGGTTGACTTGACTCCGAGCACGGCGGACGGCAATACACCCAACGAGAGAGGTGAGTCCGATCCTGAACTTTCGAGGAGCTTCCGGAGCTCGTCAAGGGAAACGAGTGCATCGTAGATCTTGGAGACAGGCGCAACGGCGACACCTCCCAAGTACCCGCTGGCTGGATCCTGGACAAGACTGTGCTCTGACAACTTCCATACTGCACCGCCACCCTGCGAGTGACCGATGGATGTCCAGTTGTACGACAAGGCATTTCGAAAGGCGTTGCGAGCGGCAATAACGGACCAATATGTGTCATTGGCATTGGCTGCGCTCGCTACGTATTTATGAGACGTGTAGTTGTTGCCAAGACCAGCATAGTCTGTAGCCACAACGGCGTATCCCGCAATAACAAGTTGGCTCCAGCTCGTATAGTCGTACAGGCTCGGGGAGGTCGAGGGTGCACAGCCGCGGAAGACTCCACTAGTACCGTGGGCATACGCGACTAGGTTGAAGGGTTCCGTGGTCTGAGCAAAAGGTAAAGCAATAAAGCCAGTGACAGGCACGTACGAGCCGTTGATGTCGGCACTAGTGTACTGAATTTTGTACGCGGCGACACCAGCAGGTGTGCTGAGATTGGATGGAGGAATTGGCTCAAGCTTAAGAACATCGCCAGGTTTTGATCCGGAGAAGTTGGCCGCCGTTTCATAGAAGTCGTAGTCGAAATGAGTGCCGTAGATTTCAAGGTCTTCTGTATTGCCCTCCGCGATTGCCTGCTGACAAGCGTCGCCACAGGTGTACTGTTGAGCAACTTCGGCGGAAACATTGTAGTTGCTGGCTTGGCCGACGTTGACGGCGAAGGTCTGGAGGGCCTGCTGCCCAAAAAGAAAAAGAATGACTGGAATCGTACGCATTTTCTACCGCGATGAAAGAATGTCGATTGTAAGAAGAAGCAGGTGCGCGTTGAATAGTGGACTGGTCACATTCTCTCCTCAAGCCTACTGAAGTCTTTTTAATAACCTCAATGAAATTACCGAAACCGAGATGTAGTTCTAGATTCAACAAGGCCATACACAACCAGTGGTTGGACAATACGAAACGGTGCCCGAGAGCTCCGGTTGCCGTCGAGTTAAGGTGTGGGTTGAGTGGGTCCGGGAATGCTTCTCCATTGTCCTTCCCATTTGGGTTGATGAAATACGAGCGAGGAGAAAAGACGCGCGGTGTCTAGAATACGAAAAAGGAGTTGAGAATGCGAAAAGTCTATGGGCGAATCACGAGGAAGCATTGGGGCTTCCTATGAAGTGTTTAATCTCAAGGGTTCCGCTACATGTCAAGGAACGCCTCGGTTGGGGAAAGCGATGTCACTTCGGATTTCAATTCGTCTCAAAAGCCACGTCATAGCCTCACATGAGTATTCAGTAAGACCTCTTTGGAGAACTTGAGAAGCCATCAAAGAGGCATTGAGAGATGTTGTCGCAGGTTGACCGTCAGCTACAAGATCATAATCTAGAGACCCAGGCCAAACATAGGCTTATGCCTTGAAAATGCCAACCTTGGCTCTGCACCATGAATCGCCCATAGCACCCTGAGCCTGAAAGGCCCTGCGGAACTTGCAATTGTCGAAAGCTGTGATGACCCCAAAGGTGTTCTTATAGAGCTTACATTCCATGAACCCCTGGTCATGAATGCGAGGGGTATTTTCACATATTATGTTGGTGATAGCGTCATTCGTAGTCCCGTCTTTGTTTGTGCAAGCGCAGTACTTATACGAGTCGCAAGCCTGAACAGTCAAGGACAGCGTAGCAACAAAAAGAAGGCATGTAGCCTTCATGGTAAGTTGGAAAATATACTGGGAATATTAGCTGAGAAATCATTGAAGCGGGATTATAGAATACTGACCGGAAACGACCGTATTTTTACTTCGAATTCTGATCTTTCTGGAAGAATGGGAATGACTGGCAAGGTGACCTACTTTGATGGTTGGGCGAATCATAACGAATTTTATATAGAGGTACTCGTCGGCCTAGTGGTTTAGAGAGAGGCGCATACATGTATGCGCAGCACTCGTCGGTATTACCGACTTTCTGTGTCTCATTGAGTGGCTGTGTCTTCCATTCTGCAGGATGGAGTTCACCGTTAGCAGTACTGTAATTTCTAAATCTCTCGACGCGAAGGAAATGGCGCCGTATCGTAGGTGCCCTGAGCCGTATCATTAATGGCAATCGCTAGCTACCACATAATTGTAAGTTTATTTATATGACGGTATGCAGAACATTGCTTCCATCTGACTCGTAAGCTCTACATGTGACTACCTACGAGATTATCAGTCCGTGTAAGACAATATTTCTTACTCATCATGAGACACAGACTACACATATCTTTCCCGTCAGAGTTGAACCCTCCGCGGGAGTCGAAGGTTGCGCGGAATCTGGCATAGAACCATCGCGTATACTCACGCGCATGATTTATTGTCTTCTCGGTCGGTATTGGCATTATCCTAGCACAGGAATCAACTCTGTACTGGCGCATCTTTCAATCGACTCATGAGGTGGTCCGCAGGCAACTTGATAGCTACTTTAGGTAGGGAGACGATTTGATTCATGAACAATGTAAATGAAGGCTACTATACGCTCGTATGCACAGTGTTTCGAACTCAGTCTAACTAGCACTGTTTCCCAAAGGTGGCTTCCGCTAGCTCGCAACTCTCATCTAAGGTCTCTTCCCGCCTCTACCTAGGTTGTCTTTCTCCTTACGTGAATAGAGTGCGTGAGATCTCAAGTTGTTTGAGGGAACTAAATCGACCACAAGTTTTCACGGACGGAATAATCTGTCCGAAATCGCAGCTTTCAAGTACCCAGTGCATTCAAATCTTGTCGCGACAATACCCCGTAGACCCTCCGGCAATGATGCATGACTGGAATCGTACCATTAGATTTCTCATTGAAATGTCGCAACAGTCGCAAGGTTTGACTAACCTTTGCCCAATCGTAATTATTGCTTGCTGTGTCCGGAGGCATCGCCCACCATAACGTCTTGTAACAGAAGCATTCTTTGAAGTTCTGACCGTCAAGTGGTACCCAATCGTCCCGAAGTTCTCGGCACAAACCTTGGCCGTATCAACATCCCAAGGGACGTTATCTCGTGTCTTTCCTTGATCCACGATGCCATCTCTTCCACACCTAGCGATTAATGAGCAACATGTCGATCTACCTCAACTAGTAGTCAGGGGAATCTGAGGATGAATTACCAGCACTTTTTGTATTTAGCACAGGCCTCGATCGATGAGAGCCGTTACGGCGAGAAGGCTTGTCAGTTTCATCTTTTGATGAATACAATGGCGGTGTCCATGATGCTAGTTCGCGTGAATATCGCATCTACCTTAAGGTTATGTGAGAGTGCAACCTCTGACAGGGTCCACATGTCAGCTCCTGCACGCGGTAAGGATTGACATAGCAAGGACTGCTCGTGTTGGGGCACAAGAAACTTGAGTTTGTTCATTTGGATAGATTGCCGTAATGTTAACCTGCCCACTCTACTTGCATAGATCCCGGGGGCTGATAGCACTGAGTTCAAGCGATGAATCAGATCACTCTCTCGAGTCATTTTACTGACAACAGCTCAACTGAGCAAGAATTGCGCTGACACCATCGAACTCATAGATGAGTGGAAGGAAGTTACATCTGACACATCGCTCTAGAACGCGATGGGACTATTCAAATTATATCAAAATACTACACATTATAATATTGCATACCTTACTACTACACGTTAGGGCTTAAAACAACGTTTATACAAGCATTCTCATTATGATAAACACTCTTAAGCTAACTTGGACCTTTGGATTAGCGTGCTTACCACTAGCAGACATGTCTTGAATGTTACTATCTTCAGCGCCCAGAACCTTAGTCAGTTTAACTATATTTTCGCAAATTCAGTCACTGGCGTTCCCCCAGATATCCCTTGTACTGAGCCCATTAGTGGTACTAATGCGGACGGATAGGGGCATTGATTGTGTCTGGAATTGTGTGCAGCCCAAACAAATTCAGTAGCTAGGATTGAATCCACGGGTACACGAACGAAAGCGGGTATATGAAATCAAAACTAGCAAACTTGATTGATCTTGCACGCAACCGGTGGAATTAACCAAGAGACTGACTAGACGTCCTGATGCTGTGCCAGCCAGCTTCGCCAGTCAGTTTGATGGACTCGACCTACCCACCGCTTGCTATCAATAGATTCTTTCCAGCCTAATTTGCCTTCATTGAAAGCAGTTATGTACGCGAGGCCGATGTACTTGTTCCAATCATAAGTAGCAGTGCTTTCGCGTGCTTGCTGAAGCAGATGTCGCGCTGTCTGCGTATCGCCGACACAGATTTCGCGTATCTCAACGCCACGTGCTTCACCGTAAACTCTTCCTAGGTCAGGAAAGGTTGCACGGAAGCTCTCAACGTAATAAAGCCCGCCTGCAGTAGCTTGTTGGTCGGAGACAGCACAGATGGTATACGCAGCCAGATCGTTCAAGGTAACCCAAATGTGCTCTTCAGTGCCGGTGCCAAAGTACGAGACAGTACCCTCCTCCACGTTGATGGCATTCCGTGTCCGGTCGCGATACCATGGATATTCGATTATCCCCCCAGTAAAGCCGTACAAAGGCCTGATGGTTGATGAAATCTCAACAGTTCGTTTGAACGCAATGTAAGCATCGTAGTTCTCATGTTCGCCGAGTTGAAGCCTTGTCCAATCATAATTCCAAGAGGCAGCGTGAAATATCTAGGCCATGGTTTAGCAAGCCGCCCGATTCGAATTACTTTCTAAACTTACTTTCACACCAGCCTTTTCCGCGGCATACAGTAACGCAAGCTGCGCCCCGACCACAAGCTCAGGACTGTTGTTGTACGCACATATCACTGCGTCGACTCCCGCTACAGCATTACGGAGACCCTCCAGGTCGTAGTAATGGGCAACTGACACGAAGCTCTCAAGGCGACACGCGACTTTATCGGCCAGTTTACCCGCATTCCGTCCCATTCCGCGAACTTGATGGCCCCAATCCAGCGCGACTTGAGCGCATGGCTGACCACACATTCCCGTGATACCTGCGATGAGAATGAGCATTGTAACAAGAATTACACCGTGGGTTGTTGATGGCGCAAGTACAACTTCACGGAGCAGGGAACGAGACAAGGACAAATATGGCGCGCACGCAACTCAATATGAGGAGTACATTAGTAATAAGAGATGTTCTTAATTATTCATGCCAAGTGATTGCGTTCAGAAACCTGTTATGAATCTTTCTCATTATGTTACTAATCATGACCTAATTATGATCAATATGCATGTAAATCTGACAGCCGGCAATAAGGTGATCCTTATCCCCGCATAAACAGCATTGGTGTCTAGATCTAGGGTTCTTCGGGCCGCCAAGAATGCTACGTGTTAATTTATGGGATGGGTGCTGAAATCATCGATCGGCGAATCTTTAGTAGAGGAAGTTTGCAAGATCTCGTAGCCCTAGCCAATGAATAAAGTCTATCGGTCAGAGGGGCTTTATTTAACAGCGTGGAGATATAGATGTTCTATTGCACCTGAAACAACCTAGACAAATTGGCGCTTGATTTGAGAAATAAGTGAGTAAACTTACATGTCTCAGGCCTGTTATCCAGACTTAGGTTGGAATAGAATAATGAGGGTTTTCTGATGTCCATATCGATACCATACATGACGCCATTGGCCGCATCCGCGAGGAGCAGAAATGGTTTGGCCCTTGGCCCTTGGCTTCGGGGTCCGCGTGTGGTGGCTGGGTTCAGGACGTTAATTCCATTGAGGAATCCGGCGTTTGGAACTTCTGAGATAAGCGTGGCCGTTGGTGGCGTACTGCCTATCGTTCGCCAGTTCGCCAGATCAATGCTCCAGACCGACCACATTCCTGATATTGGAGTTCCATCGGCCGAAGCTGGCCCGCATTGATGGCAAATGTATTGTCCCGGTACTCGACTATTCCCAAGGTTGAGTTAACGGCCGATGAACTCGGGAACTGGTAGACCAAGGTAGCGTTTCCAATATTCGTGTCAACCGACCAGAGGTCACCGGAATCATAGCGAGTAACAAGCAAGCCGCCATTCATTCGCTGGATTGCACATTCTAACCAACAGGTTCTTGGGATAGATGGTTGCCAAAGGACGCGTGGGTGTTTGGCGCCATTCGGGCGAGCAGAAGCAAGGCTGTAAAGGCAAAACCAGCTGAAGCAGGTAGACTAACTGAAAGCCTGTATCTTGAGAATTCGTGACGACAACAGTATGTAGATATCTGAGACTTGTAAAATAGCAGCGGCAAATACGTTACAGGTCGCTTCGCATTTGTGTTATTCGGGCTCGCTGGTTGTTGTCACTGATTGAAGCCTGCACGGGTGCCCGTGGCAGGGACCTTGCAGAAAGCATGAATTCTTACACAACCTTCGACGGGATTGGTCGTGCAATCCGGTAGGTCCGGATCCCATTGCTATACGAATGTAGTGATCATTGACCATTAAGTATATTTGTAATCATTGGTCCCTCAATTTGGATTAGACTGAGGTAAAGTTGAACCTGCACTGATCGCGGGATTTGAACTGATCACGGGATTTGAACTCATCAGAGTACCAGGGTGAAGATCGACACTCGTTCGTCCTAATTCGAGGTCTCTACGCTGTAGTCTGTAGCATCTGAAAGAACAGTAATCAAATACCCACATGTTTACTGCACGAAGCTATTTGCAGATTCATACAGTGTGAATTTCATCGAGCAGGAAGTCTCTGAAGGCATTCTACAAAGGTAAGTGCCTGTGAGTGCGGAA